TTTTTTTTTTTTTAGTTAATCTATGTGTTAAAGAGGTCCCCCAGATTTGGAGTATGTGGGATTTTTCCCGAGGGAGTAAACGGACATAATACTCTTGAGAGAGTAGAATATCTTTGGGCTTGATGAAAGTAAAATGCAACCATGCTTAAGATTAGTTCCAACTGAATATTTGATTATGAAAGTCATCAAATGCATTAGTTTGTATAATGGGCGTGCAACCATGTCTTTTATGCTTTAGTGTTAATGACATGGATAATTGGCTATCTGTTTAATTAGTAACTAAAATATGTTTGACACCTTCCCTTCTAAATTAATTATACAAGCATCTCATTTGTGTATTCAACCACGCTCTCCATGCTTTACGGGGTACCACATGAATAATTGACATTTCTTAAGTCTATGTACTTTACAAATACACACACATACATTATAGGGCATTATTAAGCTGAAGAGAGCAAAATTTTGATTCATACAAGTACCACAAACATGGTTTTCTAAAAATGTCGTTGCATTATATTATGATACAACCGTTGCATTAGATCATTGCCCAAAAAAAAACCTATCCCTTTGAGTAAATAATTCACCCAAATTTAAGAGTAAATACTTTTGTGTACAAGGAATGTGAAGCACTCTAAGGTTGACACCTTAAAATGCAGGGCTAGTGCCCGGCCCTCTCAGCCTCGCCCTAAAATAGTAGGGGTTGAGCTACAAACTATGACCTGAGGGCCGGGCTTGGGCTAGGGCTAGGGCTAGTGCTGGCACATTTTGGCCCGGCCCAAACTCCTTTTTCTTGTTTTTTATTTTATTTTTTTCATTTATTTTTGGCTTGGCCCGGTCTTGGACCTATAAGGCCGGACCCAGCCCCGACCGGTCTTATGGGTATAAGAGCCAGAGCTAGCCTGACCCAAGCCTAGCTTGTTGCTACCCTTATTAAAAAGTAGAACTAAGGTACACCTTAAAAATCCCTTGAAAAAGGCTGTTTGGATTTTGAAAAAAAACATCTAATTGATCATCTCAAGATAAATGGATGTGGAGAAAAGAAAAATTTCAAGTCTCAAAATTAGTACGTCTTGCAACACATTATATGGACCATCCATTGTCAAATTTTTCATGTGTTTATAGATATGCTTGATTTAAACCATGAGTTCAAGATTTTTTCAATTACAGATGATAATAGATTTTTGTGCCATCCTAATAATTTTCACACCAAAATTGCATCTTATGACAAAATTTGAAGATGCACCTTAATTCGATTGTTGAAAGTTGAGATTAAAATGGTTATTGATTAGTAAAGAAGGTCGATCCACGCATAGCACGAAATATCTGAAATGTGATGACTTTCTGGATCTAACCAGACGCAAACGCCCTCTATACCATTACTTACTGGGTCCCTAAAACGTTTGTATTTGACAAAAAGATTGTAATATTATGAAATACGTACCCAAAACTTAAGCTTGAGAGTATTTTCGATGTTTCCTGTGATGTTTATTTGAAAGTAAATCTTCTCAAAAGCAAGGAAATTCCAATAAAGCATTCTTACTGTAATTTTCTCTGATGATTAAAGGAAATAAATATTGGTGAAGAGAAGAATGTTAGTTGAGAAGCAAAGCACTCACATCCCAATGTTTGGTGACTACTTTCTCGATGAAAGAAGCGTTCTCGTAGGCGATCTTCGAAGCAAGCATGCACAGATCCACCAGATGTTCATGCCCAACACCTACCTTTGTTAACATTTCGTCCAGGATGAGTCTATGGGAGTTTCTGCCCCCGTAAAGGTCTACCCGTTGATCCAAAAATCCGATGAACGTCCGGAATTCAGATGACTCACGGTGTGGAATAACCACTGCTCCTGTCAATAACACACATTCATAGAGAGAATCAGTGAAAAAACCATTAAGACAGAGAGTGAAAGCTGAAAACCACAACTTTGCTGCGAAGGTAAGAGGTGGAATCTAAGGATGTTTTGATTTTTGAAGAGGGCTAGAAACCTTGAAATATATTTTTGAGGACGCCGATGAAGCTGCCATTTTGGTCGAAGAAGTTGAGCAAGAACTCAAGAGCAAGACCGAACCATCGCAGCGGTGTGCGAAATGCGATGAGTAATTTCTGAATGAAGAGGCCGAGACCAACCATGAATGTGCCATGAAACTCAGTTAATTTTGTGTCATAAACAAAGGGGGCAGCCTGAGTTGGGTGATCAACAAATCTGGAATCTTTGGGTGTCCTGGAGCAAAGAAGGCGGAGTATGTCTGAATATCGGGCTTTATGAGGCCGATAAATGAGGCAATGGATGGGCTTCATGGACTCCATAGGAGAAGAAAGCGTAGAGAAGGATTGTGTTGTTCCCTGTAAGAAACCTAAGTAAGCCTCAAGAGTCGAAACTTCTCTCCTCCCAACTAACACACTTTTCTGCCGTGGACTTTTCTCTCCCTTGTTTATTCGCCTATCATGAGCAAATGACAGGATCAACATCGTCAAATTCAAAATAGAGCGATATGCATGCAGCCCCTAAAATAAATATTGAAATACTGTTTGTTCATTTTATACCAGGAAATTACTAAGAAGGTCGTTCAACTCGTGATTTTTTTTTTTTTTCTAAATTTGTCCCTCGGTCCGAGGATGGAATCCTGGGACCCTATTTTAATTTGATTCATTTATTTATTTATTTGGGCACTGCCCCCAAGTTTTAGGGGCAGTGCTTCAGGCGGTTTGAAGTTGGAATCCTTGGATTGTTCTGTTTTTTTAAAAAAAACAAATACTGGTTCGAGGATGAGAACTTCAGACTGCCCCCTGGACTGAACAAAGTTGATGTTCAAGTTTGTCCGAGGATGCCATTCTTGGACCGACACCAAGTTTACATATTAACTTAAAGCGGCCGGAGTATTGCATTCTCGGACCGCGTTGAAGTTCACTGAGATTATCAGAAATGGCCACGACTTAATTTTGTATGCAATTAGGTGGAGACCTTACGCTTTGGCCGCAATTGGATACAACTCATTTCTTTGTTTAAATTCTTTTTTTGTTTTGACAATATTCTAAACTTTTTATTAATCAATCAACAAGTTACAACAAAATCATAAAATTCCAATATTATCAGTAATTTGTCAATCAGGAAGTGAAGGCCCCTTCTTGGCTAACTCATCAACCAAAGCATTAGCTTCTCATTAGGCATGATAAACTGAGACTCTCAAGGCACAAACTAAATCCATAATTTGCAACCAACATTGCCTTAAGTTCCATGAAACACCCATTTGACAACAAATTGATTGTATGAAAAAAAAAAAAAAAGAACTATGATAGGAGAATATGGAAATCAAAAGCAGCAAATAAATAAATAGTAAAGAATCGAGTTCCTAAGATAGGGAAACCATAAATTGCCTTAGTAGAGAGGGATTAATGTTTTACCAAGCCTAAGAGAGAGATAACTTGAGCCCAATACCTTTATGCAACTTTAGAGAGGAACTATAAGAGAGAGAGATAGTATATAACATATCATAATTATTGCTTTAATAGTAAAAAAACCTATTTCATTTAGATATTTCAAAATATTAAATTCAAATTGTGGAAAATTTAGTTGTTGGTAGGTTGCAACTAAATAATGCAATCATGAAATTGTGGCATGCATGGATGGATAGTATGAAGATAAGTATTTAATAACTTTTTATAAATCTTAGATAAATGGAAAACTAATCATAAATGAATTTAAAATATATGATAGTCAAGTGAATAAAAAAGTAGCAATAAATCAAAGTTACAATTAGAAAAAAACGAAATGAAATTTTAAAATATTGAAGTTTTAAAATAAGCAAACAATCAATGACTACATGGAATCCTCTCTCTCTCTTCAACCAACTTTTTTTTTTCTTCAATTACACAATGTAATCCGCCTCTCTCTCTCAACTCAACTAAGTGTAATGTGTTATAACTTTTTAATTTGATATCCATCCATTAAATGAAATTAATGTATATGTTAATTAACTAATACTAATTTCCATGCTTAGATCAGCTTGATTTCATTTCAAAATTCCAATAGTTTAAGAGCCCATGCATTAGATGACCTTATAAAATTTTTAAAACTTAGAACTAAACATATTCTATTTATTTTGAATGTTTCTAAAAAACCAAATATTGGAACTAAATACTATGCGAATTCAATGCTTAACAATTTTCATGATTAAGTAGAACTTCGACGGCCTATTCAAATTCATAGATATGTACCACTATAAATTTATGCCAAAAAAATTAAAATTAAATAAAAGACCATAAAAATAAACAAAAAATCATGAAAGTAAAGCAAGAAGGAACGTATCTTAAATATAAAAAAAGGATAAAGTAAATAAAGAGAGAATATACCTTCAATATATAAAACACACAAATAAAAAATCAGTAATACCATGAAACACTCTTTTGATAACAAATTGATTGTATGAAACTCTTCAAAAAAAAAAAAGAAAAAAAAAGCACTATGATATGTGAATATGGAAATCAAGAGCAACAAACAAGTAAATAGTAAATAACCGAGTTCCTAAGAGAGATAAACCATAAATGACCTTAATAGAGAAGGATTAATGTCGTACCAAACCCAAGAGATAGAGATAGCTTAAGCCCAATACCTTTATGCAAACTTTAGAGAGAAACTCTAAGAGAGAGATATAAAGCGTAGTAGGCTATTATTAAAGCTTTTGTATATTTTTGTAGAGAGATTTATTGTTTGTTTTAGGATTTTTACTACACAAAGACATATTTTAGAGTAGAGAGAATCTTCATTGCTTAATATTAAACATTTTAGATATGTTTGAGAGATATCTTTGTAGAATGATTTACGATTTATTTTAGAAAATAAAGAATATCTCTCTATCTCTCTCCATCCCTCCCTCCCACCCACCCAATGTGTAGTTCTGAAGCTTCCATAGAAATCTCTCTCTACATGATTTGGGATTTGTTTTAGGATATACTTAAGGTTCCAAAAAAATCTCTCTTACATGATTTAGAGTTTGTAGTAGGATATTGTGAAATGTTTTAAGAGATAAAGAATTTGCATTGCTTAATATTATATCTTTCAAAAAACATTAACATATTTTTTTGGAATCCTTTTAAAATGTTCATGGATGAGGACGTAGGTTCGTACTCTCTCTCTTCCGTTGAATATAGGTATGCATATCTCTCTCGCATCTCTCTCATCCACGTCTCTCTCTAAAGAGTGTACGCATCTCTTTTCCTACATACGTATACCTATACTTTTAGAAAGTCTGCTACGAACGATATAATTCTCTCTAAATATTCTCTATCATCTAAAAATCTTTTACTCCTTGATTTTCTTTCCATATACCTCCCTCATACCATTCATCCACTTCTCCCTCTCTCTCTCTCTGAAGAGGATACGTATCTCTCTCTATACTTTTAGAAAGTCTAATAGAAACCATATAATTCTCTCTAAAGATTCTCTATCATCTAAAAATCTCCTACTCCTTAATTTAAATCTTTTTCTCCTTGATTTTATTTCTATATATCTCTCTCATACCTTTCATCTATGTCTCCCTCTCTTTCTCTTTAAAGAGGATATGCATCTCTCTTTACCTAAAGATGGGGTAATGTGTCATACATTCTCTATAGAATTAGGGTCATTTCTTAGTCTTGGGACACATGTCTACCTCTGATCTCTTGCTTAATATATATATAGGAAATTGGTGAGATTATCCCACTTGTGTTCATATGAGCCCAACGGTCCAGATTGAATCTAAGCCGATCTAATGGTAGATACCTCATTTTTTCTTTGAATTTTACTCTTTTTTTTCGAGTAATCTAAATAATTTGAAATTTTAGACGTGTATTCTTCAAAAATATGATAATCTAATAAAAATATCAAAAAAAATAATTTGCAAGGAATAAATTGATCAAAATACCCCAGAAATATTTCTGAAGTATTTTGGTTATTTTACTTTTGGGAATTATTTTTTAAAAAAAAATTAGGTGCAGCTTGATGGGAAGAATGAACGTCTAAAATTTTAAGTTATTTGGATTTGTAGAAAAAACATTTAAAATTAAAATACGAAATGAGGTTGCGATTGTCAGATCAACTCAGATTTAATCTGGGCCATTGGGCTCATATGTAGTGGTAGGCAAGTGGGCCTATGCCATTATTTTCCACTAGCCTACTGCTAACATATGAGCCTATGGCCCAGATTGAATCTGGGCCGATCTGACGGTTGCAACCTCATTTTTTATTTTAATTTTAATTTTTAAAAGAAAAATCCAAATCACATGAAATTTTTGAAATTTATTCTTCTCATCTAGGCGTGCCTAATAAATATATTAAAACAATAATTCGTAAAATATAAATTGACTAAAATACCCTTGAAAGTTTATGGGGTATTTTAGTCAATTTATTTTACACGAAATATTTTTTTGATATTTTTACTGGATTCTTATATTTTTAAAGAATACACGAACAAAATTTCAAGTGATTTGGACTTATAAAAAAGTATTAAAATTCAAATACGATATGCAATCGTGATCATTGAATCGGGCCAAATTGAATTTGGGCCATTGGATTCATTGTCTTTTTTTTTTTGTTTTTTTTTTGTTTGGGTAAGTCAATGGGGGAGAAGACCCTTTACTCGATTTTCATTAATAATAAAAGGAAAATACAGCTCAAAAGTCACACTTAATTTTTGTTACTAGTCACAATTAAAAAAAGGAAAGTACTGTTGATCTTTGGTAATTGGTACAAAGTAGTCACAATGAATTTTGACCATGTGAATTTATGTGCCTACATTTATTTCATTTACCAAGTTCAAGGGAAATTTTCTCAAACTTTGTGACACACCTAAGCCATCAGATTTCACATTGGATGTTTATAAGTAATTGTGACCTCTTTGTACCAAACATAAATAATCTCATTGAATACAATCCCTTTTCTTTGCTTTTTTTTCAAGCAAATCCAAATGGACTCGCCTGAGTAACTCACCTTGGGCCTAGGCCGACCTCCATGCCCGAGATAAGTCTCAAAACATTGTTTTCGGCTCATAACGTGCGATATGTTCCAATTTTTATCCAAGGGCGATTGAGAAAGCAGAGTTCTCGCCTTGTCAGATTTTTCAGAGCACTGACTCCATCCTTCCAACGATTACAATTATAAGAAAATGCTTCTGAGAACTTACAACGTTTTTTAACTTATGTTGGTTGCTGAGCTAGAACTCAATGTTTTTATAATATATCTAGATTGGATTACTTGAATCTGAACTTGTTTTTTGGAACAAGAAATGTCAACAATTGGGGGTTAACCATTCAACATAACATGTGGTGTGGGCATTAGAGGTTAGGTGAATTATTCTTGCTCACTCAATCTTCAAGTTTCTTCAACGAAAATGGCTATGAAAAAACGGGAATTTGAAAGAACACAACTCGTAAAGATAGCAAGACAAGGTGGACAGACAACAGGCACACTGGGGATGGATAAAATGATCGTTCCTTGTAGACGGAGAAAAGGTCCTTAGTTACTGT